CATACCATTTCTGTTTGATAATACAGCGTCCAGTGTCAGGCCGGGTGCAGTGGCTCATGCCTGTAATCCCAGCACTTTGGGAGGCCGAGGCGGGCAGATCACAAGGTCAGGAGTTCGAGATCAGCCTGGCCAACGTGGTGAAACCCCGTCTCTACTAAAAATACAAAAAATTAGCTGGGCTTGGTGGCAGGCACCTGTAATCCCAGCTACTCGGGAGGCTGAGGCAGGAGAATTGCTTGCACCTGGGAGGTGGAGGTTACAGTGAGCGGAGATCGCGTTACTGCACTCCAGCCAGGACTACAGTACCAGACTCTGTCTCAAAAAAAAAAAACAAGAAACAGTCATGTGAACACACAGGGAAATGGCAGTTGACTCCAAGTCAAGAAGAGGCCTCAGAATGAAACTGATCTTGCCGGCATCTTGATCTTGGATTTCCCAGCCTCCAGACTGTGAGAAATAATTTTTTTGTTGTTGTTTAAGCACCTCGTCTATGTTCATAGCAGCCCAAGATGACTAAGACACAAGCATTGTGCATCTTTTTTTGTGTGGTAGATAGTGAGAGGTGTAATTTGTCTTTCTTCTTGGAGGAATAACTTGACATTGCCAAGGTCATTGAACTCCCAGAAACTTCACTGAGGGGACATGCCATTTGTTTCCTACCCTCTCATTTGCATATGGCTTTCTAAGACATCTCATGTACAAGCTCACCGGATCCATTCAACATAATATCAGTGTAGTAGGTCACTGTGATGTTTTGTAGAATGTCAAGATATTATCAACAATATTGGCAATATATTGATAATTGTTGAACCTGGGTAATGAGTAATAGGGGTTTATAATACTATTCCTTCTACTTTTGTGTATTTGAAATTGTGAATAATAAAAGATTAGGGCTGGGCGCGCTGGCTCACGGCTGTAATCCCAGCGCTTTGGGAGGCCGAGGAGGGTGAATCACAAGGTCATGAGTTTGAGACCAGCCTGGCCAACGTGGTGAAACCCTGTCTCTACTAAAACTACAAAAATTAGCCAGGTGTGGCAGCACATGCCTGTAATCCCAGCTACTCGGGAGGCTGAGGCAGGAGAATTGCTTGAACCTGGGAGGCGGAGGTTGTAGGGAGCCAAGATCATGCCACGGCACTCTAGCCTGGGTGACAGAGTGAGACTCCGTCTCAAAAAACATAAAAATAAATAAAGATTAAAACTACAAAGGTAATAAATATTCAAAATTCAAAAAAAATGACCAATATCTTTGAGGACTATATTATGGCAGATAGCAGGTGAACTATAGGCCTCAGGAAATACTGTGAATATATAGTCCTGGCCCTGCAAGATAAAAGAAAACTGCTTTTTGTGATTCTTGTAGACTGGTATGGAGAAAAGACATTCGCCAAGTCAACAGCCCTAAGTGATGGACTGTATGTCCAAGATGATCAGGCAATTCTATCCCCTGCTTAGACTCACCTGTAGCTTGGGATTATCTGGGACTTACAGTGTCCATAAAGTCAGGAAGTAAAAACATATATAATGTCACAAAGACATCTTTGATCTGTTAAAAAAAAACAAAAAAACTCTGTGTCTGTGTATGTGTCTACAATTTGTAAACACTCTGCAGTTCAAGCCATGAGCCAGAACTTAAAATCTGCCGGAGAGGTTTGTTGAGATTTTTTTGGTTTTTGCTTTTCTGATTTAAAAAAAAAAAAAAATGGCAGACACACCAGAGATGGCTCTGTGTTCCTTCACGTGTTCCCATCTCTCATCTTTGATTGTAGAAATCGTTTTGAGTGGCAAATCATCAAATATTGAATGCTAATAAAGCTCCATAATCTTACATCTGCAGTTTTGAAATCCAAAAAGCTCCAGAAAAATAATTTTTAAAAACGCACTTGGAGGTAAAACCTGAACTAAAGTAACATAAGACGGCTTAGTGTTTCTCTTAGTGGGAGTAATAAAAAGTTTCACTCAGAAAAAATGAGTTTAGTTATCAGGCGTTTCCCAGTCCCTTGCAGGGCTCTATATAATATATGGCACATGCACTTAATTTCATTTCTAAAATCAGGAAAAAGTGTGAATTTAAAACACATCTGGCACTAAGGGTTTCAGATAAGAGATTGTGTGAGAGTTGTTCTTAGTTCTGCCATTTTCCCTGGAAAACAATCATTAAAGTTTACAGAGCACATCAGCGAGAATTTTTAAAAGGAGCCTAATTGTGATATGGTTTTGTTGAAATACAAGGCAGGTGTAAAAGGAAAATAAATCTCAGGACCCCAAAATTACTAAGCCAAAAGGAAAAGTCAAGCTGGGAACTGCATCAGGCAAACCTGCCTCCCATTTTATCCCTAAATAAGATACCTACAAAGAAAAGAAAGCTACATACTTCCCTCATAATTTGCCCTCTCGGGATTCCTTGTGGACCCCAAGATCTTTACCCTAAAACGGTTCTGTTGAATTTTACCCTGACAACGTAAATTGATAGTTTATCTTCACAGGTGCGAGACACAGGACAGAACCCCAAGTCCTCCCTCTGCTCACCTGAAACAAATGCATATCTGATTGCTTCCTCTGAGGTAAAAATGCAGATTCACAAAGCTAGATGAGGGCGTGACTATTCCTCTACTCCCCTGATAAGTTTTGGATCTATGTTCCCACCCAAATCTCAGGTCGAATGGTAATCCCCAATATTGAAGGTGGGGTCTGGTGGGAGGTGATCAGATCTTGGGGGTGAATCCTTCATGAATGGTTTAGCACCATCCTCTTGGTGATAGTGAGTGAGGGAGTTATTGCGAGATCTGGTTGTTTAAAGTGTGTAGCACTAGGCTTGGCATGGTGGCTCACGCCTGTAATCCCAGCACTTTGGGAAGCTGAGGCAGGTGGATCACCTGAGGTCGGGAGTTCAAGACCAGCCTGGCCAACATGGCGAAACCCCGTCTCTACTAAAAATACAAAAATTAGCCGGACGTGGTAGCGGGCACCTGTAATCCCAGCTACTCCGGAGGCTGAGGCAGGAGAATTGCTTGAACCCGGGAGGCGGAGGCTGCAATAAGTCAACATCTCGCCACTGCACTCTAGGCTGGATAACATAGCGAGATTAAGAAATAAATAGGTTTGCTTATAAGATGCTATTATTTTATTGTACTTTTTTACATGTTTATTATATATTATGTACTTGTAAATGTATTAGGTAAATATATTTTGTAGGCACATAAATTTATTGCTTTATGTAAATTTAATATTTCATTACTTATCGATTATCTATTGTATATAAGGCACATGATGCTACATTGGTATTTGGAATTCATTACCCTAACTATACTGTAATTAAAATAATTCTCCTAACTAGTACCAAAGGCTTCCACTTAGCAATCACTCGAAGTGTGCCAGCACCTCCACTCACTTCACGTCAAGCGATTCCCATCATTGTTTCACTGGTGGAGAAACCGAGGCCCAGGGCACATGGGGTAAGGCGTTCAGGGGGCTTTCGGTCCGGAAGCAGCGTCGGGGCGGGAATTCGAACCCTGGGTTCCCACACTCGCCGGTGGCAGGGCCCCCAGGGCCTTTTCCCAAACTGATCACAGGAAGTGACGACCCGTTCGCCCGGCGGACCGGGGGGCGTCGGGCAGGTCCTGGTCCAAGTGAGTGCCCGCCCCTGCCCTGGGCTGACGGAGTTCTTCCCCCAGCTGCTGGTAGACGTGGGAACCCGCAGGGGACGGAGCTGCGGGATCCGATAGGACCTCGAGGACCCTTGGGGCGCCGCTGTTCTGCCCTGGGAGAGAGGGTGGGAAGTAAGTGAAATGCCGTCAGAAAGCTAAAGAACTACCGAGAGACCAAGACCCAGAGAAAGAGGCGGAGGTAGAGAGATGGGGAAGGAGAGCACAGGTGGATGTGTAAAGGTGTTCATTTACACATTCAGAGACACAAATACAGGAAGAGACAGGGGCGCAGGCAGACACCCCGAGACAGGCTCGGTGAGTCGCAGGAAGAGACAGTCAAGAGACCCCAAGAGCAAAGGAGATGGGCAGTCTAGACCAGGCGCGTCTACACCCGCGTTCGCCCTCAGGCTAACATTGTCAGCTAGGACCACCTTCCTTCCCCTGGCCGCCCTAACACCTCGCAGCTTGCAGGCTGCGGCTGCTGGCAACACCCGAGTAAGATCCTATCCAGCCGCTGCGCTCTACTTTCCAGGGAAGTGTAGACCTTACAGGGGACGGGCCCCAGGTGCAGGGGCCGTCGCGCTAGCCAAGGGTGGCGTGCGGAGATCGACGCGGCCTCGCCTTCGGCCAGTCAGGACTCAGCGGTCTCTTGGCCGCGCCCACACGCGCACCTCCGGTGGGCCTGGGCTTTCCTTTGCACATTCCTGCCCGCTGACGCTGCCCACGCAAGTGAGGTCAGCCGGGCTTTTTGCGCGTCTGGACAAATCCAAATCAGCCTGAGCTTTGCCTTCGCATACCCCCTAGCCAGGCGCCACGAGGATGTACGTGGCTCGCGCTTCCTTTTCTCCAAAGACCGCCGAGCCCTTTGCGTGAACACGGAGTGACCAACGAATACTTCCTCCTTCTGCGAGACCTGCCTCTTTAGGATCCGATTCCTATAGACTGACCAGACTCGGCGCAGCACGCTGATTGGAAGCGGCGACTGCCCGTCAAGCATTCGCGTCTCTCCCCTCCCTTGACTTTCTTGGCAGGGTTAAGGGATAAGAGAAAGTGGAGTTGCCTTAGTTCTGGGAGAGCCGGTTTGTGGGTCCGGCACAGGTATCCATGCGGACTTAGGCTGCAAAAGTCCTCTTGTGAAACGAGGAATAGGCTCGAACCTTCGATTGGGTCGAGGGAAACGTCAATCAATGGATGGGCGGGTGCAAACGCAACAGAACGTACAGTATTGGTTAGGGTTTGGCGGGGGGCGTAGACAGCGGGGAAATGAGGCGGCTTATCTCGATTGGCCCAGAAAGAAGGGGGTCTCGCCCTCTGTACTCTGGGATTGGCTAGAGCGAGCCGCGCCCCCCTCACGCCAACAACCACCGGTAAGCGAAGTGGGCCTAGCTCTCCCGGATTAGCAGCCGTAGCCGGATGCGTTGAAGGGAAGGCAGAGAGGTCTCATTCAGCTCCCGAACAGACCTGACGTAGATCCGGAAGTAGCCCGCACCATCTCAATTATGAGGGGACACCTGTAGGCGACGGGAGAGGGACGCCGCGGGGAGCCAATAAAGCTCCGCAACCGGAAGCGTCTTCTGGGGGCGTCGCACCCGGAAGTGTGGCACCTCCCCGGCCGCACCCGGAAGTGTGATGCCACCGCCGCTACGGGGAAGTAATGGTACCCGGCCAGTTGAGATTCGGGGTTAAAACAGGTGTTTGTATATCTCTATTTCCTGAGGCCCATTAGAGTCTCCTCTTTTCGGAAAGTGTTGGAGGGGGCACGTATTTGGGCATGTTTTTGAATGTCTCGTCCTATTGAAATCCGTGGGGAAACAAGCAGTAGGAGTGTGTCCAAAGGGGCCTGACTCTATAAAGTCTTTTCAGAAGTTTCTTTCACCGCCCGTCACCCTCGATTCCCCTCCCCTTCAGGGATGTGCAGATGGAGGCCGGAGGAGACACTGCTGCCCCGGTCCCCGGGGGCGCGGAGGACTTGGAGGACACGCAGTTCCCCAGTGAGGAAACTAGAGAAGGTGGAGGGGTTCACCCGGTCCCACTGGATCCCGAAGGCGAGGGCCTGGAGGAAACAGGTATGACTCCACTTAGTGGGGTCTTAAAATGGATTCTTAGGGGTTGTCATTGTTGGACGGGGGGAGGGTCAGTGGGTGATGAGTAGGGAGTCGTTTGGGACTCAAGAGAAGTGGCTTAAACCATAGCCGGGTCAGGAGGAGGTCATTGTGGACACATGGTGTAGTTTACTTCACTGAGGAAGTCATTGGATGTCAACGGGTGTTCACTGGGGGTTTGGTGTGAGTTTAGGTCATTGAAGAATCAGAAAGGGGGCTGTTAGAACCAAAGAGGGTCACTGAGGATTTAGAGTGTTTAGGTCAAAGAATGCGCAGAAGAAAGTCAATAGACTCCAAGGAGTACTGTTTAGAAGTTAGTGTTTTTGAGGAGTAGGGTGTTATTTATTAAATAATAGAAGTGGGAAGGGGAATCAGTGAAGTTCCATGGGCACTCAGAGTATTTACATCATTGAAGTCATTGGTAGGCTGTTGGGAAGTCTTTAAGGAACCAAATATTAGTGGATGTGTAAAGTTGTTCATTTGGGATTTAATGGAAGTCACTGAGAAGTCTGTACCATTGATCACTTTGGAACTAGTGGATGCAAATGGAATCATTGGGAAGGATCAGTGATGTGAGAATAAATGTGGGTGGGGAGGTTGAGGACTTGGGAATTAATAGCAGGTAAGAGCAGTTATTAGGAGGGAGTAATGATATTTGGGGACATGGGAGTGTCAGTCATGGGAATGTCAATGAGAGAATATGCAATTATTGGGATTTCATGGGAAAATTATTGAGACATAGCTGCACATGGATAATAATGACTGTCATTGGGGGATGAATGGGAATAAATGGATGTGTCAGTAGACGCCATTGAAGTTGTGGGTTTTCGTGAATGTTAATGATGGTCATGGGGAGGGGCAGTGGAAGTCATTAAAGTCTTGTGTGTTAGTGGATATTATAATGGTTACTGTACGGAGGGGAGTGGATATCAATGAGATTGAAGGTGGTCAGGGGAGTGAGCGAAGGTCTCTGAAGTGCTGGGTGTTAGTGGAGGTTAATGATGGTCATTGTTGGGGGCGGGAGGAGTGGACATGGAGTAGAATAAATTGTGGATCAGGGCAGTCATGGAGGATCACTGAAAAACCAGGTGTTAATGATTGTTAAAGTGGGGTCATTGGGGTGTTTGTGAACCACAGTGGGAGTGAATAATGGATTAGGGGAGTCCTAAAGATCTGGGTGTTAGTGGATATTAATGACAGTCACTGGGAGAAATACTGGACATTACCAAGAATATGAATGGGCAACCAGGAGAGTTAGTAGGGGTCATCACCTATCAGTGGGCATCACTGATAGGGTAGTGATGGGGGAAGGGGCATTCAGATACTTAAGATATTAATATATGTTAAGGGTGGCCATTGGGTGAGCAGATATCAGGTGAAAAAACAGGGGTCGGAGGAGTTAATGGGGGATTATTGGAGACGAATAATCATCATCCAGAGTCAATGGGGTGCTTTGAAGACTTGGGAATGACAGTTATTGAAAAGGAAGTAATTGGTCTGTAGGAACATAGCAGGTCCAGTGGAATGACAATGAGAATGTGTTGGTTTATTAGGGTTTTAGGAAGATCATTGCGGGGTCCCAGGGCAGTCATTTGTCATTGAGGGGCATAGGAGACACTTGGAGGTCTGTGTCAGCATGCAGGGCTCCTGGAGGGGCTAGTAGATATTTGGTGGGTCCTTGGGGATGTGGGGTTAGGGGTTCAAATGCAGATGACCCACCAGGGGCTCCCTTTCAGGATCCAAGGACAAGGACCAGCCACCCAGCCCATCACCACCGCCCCAGTCAGAGGCCCCGTCAAGTACCTCTCGGCTCTGGAGTCCTGCAGCCCCTGAGAATAGTCCCACGCGTAGCCCTGAGAGTAGCTCTGGAGGCCAGGGTGGGGACCCCAGTGATGAGGAGTGGCGCAGCCAGCGGAAGCATGTGTTTGTGCTGAGTGAGGCTGGCAAGCCCATCTACTCGCGGTACGGTAGTGTGGAGGCGCTGTCGGCTACCATGGGTGTAATGACCGCCCTGGTGTCCTTTGTGCAGAGTGCAGGAGATACCATCCGCGCCATCTACGCTGGTGAGCAAACAGGTGGGAGGCAGAATGGGGGACAGTGACCGGGAATATGGCTCGCATGGGTAGGTCCGTCTGCCTGCCTCAGGCACTATCCAGCCAGCCAGGGTTGGGTCCATGTGTGTGGATGGTCAGCCAGGGCTCTAACTGTCAGTGGTGGGAGGTGGGGGGTTCATCTCTGTCTGGCCTGCTGGTTTCTGAATGATTGACTTGCTGGGATCTGAGTGACTAGCTGGATACTTCTGTGTTGCCTGAGAGCATGACTGGGGGGGCTGTGTGGCTAAGCTGTGTCTTTCCGGCTCTGTGTCAGCCCTTGTACCATCTCTTCCCACCTGCCCCTGCTCCATGCTGTGTATCTAACCTACCTGTTCCTTTGGCCATCCCATCATGTCTCTGCAAATGTCCAGATTCCTCCAGCTTATCCTTACCCCAGTCCAGGTGCCCACAGAGTGATCGTGTGGACTGGGGCCCGGTGTGTGTATGGTAGGAGAGAGCGGAAGAGCCCCACTGTCTCCCTCTGGTCATTCCTGATCCAGCTCTACCCCCTCTTCTTACCCCTCCCTTCCCCAGAGGACCACAAGCTGGTGTTCCTACAACAGGGCCCACTGTTGCTCGTGGCCATGTCACGGACTTCTCAGTCAGCAGCCCAACTGCGGGGGGAGCTGCTAGCTGTGCACGCACAGATCGTGAGCACGCTGACACGTGCAAGTGTCGCCCGCATCTTCGCACACAAGCAGAACTATGACCTCCGCCGCCTGCTGGCTGGCTCGGAGCGCACACTGGACCGACTTCTGGACAGTGTGGAGCAGGACCCAGGAGCCCTGCTCCTGGGTGCCGTGCGCTGTGTGCCCCTTGCCCGCCCGCTGCGAGACGCACTGGGTGCGCTCCTCCGACGTTGCACAGCGCCTGGCCTGGCGCTGTCAGTGCTGGCAGTAGGCGGTCGACTGATAACAGCAGCCCAGGAGCGGAATGTGCTGGCCGAGTGCCGGCTGGACCCAGCTGACCTGCAGTTGCTGCTCGACTGGGTGGGTGCACCAGCCTTTGCGGCGGGTGAGGCTTGGGCACCAGTGTGCCTGCCCTGCTTCAACCCTGATGGTTTTTTCTACGCCTACGTGGCCCGCCTGGATGCTATGCCTGTTTGCCTGCTGCTGCTTGGCACCCAACGTGAAGCCTTCCATGCCATGGCCGCCTGCCGGCGCCTGGTAGAAGACGGGATGCATGCCCTTGGTGCCATGCGTGTTCTTGGGGAGGCTGCCGGCTTCTCTAATGCCTCATCAGCCAGTGCTCCTGCCTACAGCGTGCAGGCTGTGGGGGCGCCGGGCCTCCGGCACTTCCTGTATAAGCCACTGGACATCCCTGACCACCACCGCCAACTGCCCCAGTTTACCAGGTAGGCCCTGACCCTAAGGCAACTGGCTGGGTGGGAAGGCCTGTCAAACCAGGAAGTTCAGCATCTCAGGGATGTGACTCAGGAGAGATAACCGGCCATGCTTAAGAAAGAGGGAACAGAACAAGTCTCTGATGATGGAGCATCAGTCATGGACCTAAAGGAATCCCCCTCTTCTGGTGGAGAGCAGGGCCCTAGTACTCAGGGAATCCCCTAGTTTGATGAGGAAAGGTCAGCCTCCAACCCCTGAGAATCCTCAGGTCTCATGGGAGAGGCTCAGCTCCCTAACTTAATTGAAATCTCTAGACTGAGGGAGGAAATGGGCCAGCCAAGAAGGCCCTGGACTAATCTTTCCCTCCATCATGGCAGCCCTGAGCTAGAGGCCCCCTACAGCAGAGAGGAGGAGCGGCAGCGGCTGTCAGACCTGTACCACCGCCTGCATGCTCGTCTCCACAACACCTCCCGACCCCTGCGCCTCATTTACCACGTGGCTGAGAAGGAGACACTGCTGGCCTGGGTAAGTTGGGCAGGGCTCTGAGTGAATTGATTCCCCACTTCAAGCCTCCTTTCCCTATATTGTATCCCCTCCAGCCATAGTGCCTCCACCAAACACAGCAGGCCTCTGGCTGGGCTGTGCCTTGCCTGCGACACTGTCCCTGCCTTTACACACACATCTTTGAAGCCCCTGACAACTAATGACCGTGACTCTAATCCGACATTAGCCTCACCCTTCTGTGTGCTTTTCCCCGATTAGCAACCAGGACAGTGTCTTTGACTTTCCAGAGGCTCCATTAACCACCATTGCTGTGCCTGCCAATTCCCTAGTAGCCCAGTCCATGTGTCTGGAGGTACCCCATTCATCACCAGCTCATTATGACTCCATGAGTCCCCAGCAGTCCTCAGACACTGTAGGCTTGGTCCCTTGCTGTGCCCTCCACCTGGGGTACCCTTCCCTTGGGTCTCCTCTGGGCTCCAGCCCTCACTTCCTAGGGGTTTGCTGAAGGTCAACTACTGAGGGAGGCCAGAGAAGGGGACCTCATCAGAAATGGCACCTTCCCCCAGGCCCTGCCATGTAATGCATATTTATTAATTTATTGCATGACTGCTGTGGATCAGGCATTGTCCTAGGCTAAGGATTTTGTTTTTAAATTTTTTTAACTTTCATTTTAAAGAAGTCGCAAAAACAATATAAAGAGTTTTTATATTTATATTCATGAAGAGTTATAAAGGGTGTGGTGAAAACCACACCTGGCCAGACAGTGGTTTTCCTAACTCCATCATTCTTTCTACATTCATTGGTTGGGATTTTACTATAAAGAATAACATGGGGCCGGATGTGATGGCTCACACCTGTAATCCCAGCACTTTGGGAGGCTGAGGCGGGCAGATCACTTGAGGTCAGGAGTTCGAGACCAGCCTGGCCAACATGGTGAAACCCCGTTTCTACTAAAAATACAAAAGTTAGCTGGGTGTGGTGGTGTGTGCCTGTAATCTCAGCTATTCATGAGGCTGAGGCAGGAGAATCACTTGAACCTGGGAGGCGGAGGTTGCAGTGAGCCGACATCGTGCCACTGCACTTCAAAAAAAAAAAAAAAAGGAATAACTTTTTCTTCTATTTATTGAATTTTTAATTTTCTATCAATATTATCTCATGGATTTTTCTTTAATTCAGTGAGTTAAAATCTTTCTCTAGCATTTACTTTGGTGTTCAAATTGCCTCTGATTTAGCCAGTGGGTACCCTGATTCAGCCAGGCTGATCCCTGCGTCTCTGACACGTCCCCTTCACTATGTGAGCACATCTTACTTGACTTTCTCTATTCCAGTCCTCAACTCAGCCATTTCTCCATGGAGCCTTTGTACCTTTTAGTAGAGATTGGAATTTAAAACCCAAGATATGGGCCGGATGCAGTGGCTCACGCCTATAATCCCAGCACTTTGGCAGGCCAAATAGGGGTGGAGAGGGGGCTGCGGGTCACAAGGTTAGGAGTCTGAGACCAGCCTGGCCAACAGGGTGAAACCCCATCTCTACTAAAAATACAAAAAATTAGCCGAGCTTGGTGGCATGCGCTTGTAATCCCAGCTACTCGGGAGGCTGAGGCAGGAGAATCGCTTGAACCTGGCAGGCGGAGGTTGCAGTGAGCTGAGACCATGCCACTGCACTCCAGCCTGGGCAATAGTGAGACTCTGTGTCAAAAACAAAAAACAAACAACAACAAAAAAATAAGATATGTTAGGACCAGAATTTTAAACCAAGTGATCAGAGTGGCCTCCCTGAGCAGATGGCATCTGAGTGCAGTAAGGAGGTATTGAGCTACATGGATATCAGGAGGAAGAGTACACCTGGCAGAGGGAAGGGACTGATGTGCTGTGAGGTGGGACTGAGCCTGGCTATGTTTGAGGAATAGCAAGGAAAGTGCAGAATGGCCGGAGCAGAGGGAGTGAAGGGGAGAGCTCTTGGAGGTGGCACAGGAAAGGCACTAGTGACCTTGTGGGATCAGGCCTCTCCATTTAGTATGAGGCATAACTTGAGTTCCTCTTTATATTAATTCCTGGCTGTTGATGAGGAAAACATAGTTGTATGAGCTTAGAGCAGGACCTTGTACACAATAGGTTACTGACAGAATATTAAACATTGTTACTGTGTTCCCCAGTCCCCAGATGAGCAGACAGGTCTAGAGAGTACCCACAAACACAACCAGCATCACCCAGTTGAAGCCACTAGGTCCCGCTGACCCTTGGCTCATTAGTTGCACAATATCAGCTTACCTACCTTAGCCCAGTATCTAGGCAGCACCCGGTAGGAGGTGCTGCCAGGTACAAGTTCCAGGTTGCAGGAGGCAGACATGCAGCTGCATTGGGGTAGACAGGGTTGTCCATAGCCAGCTCTGGCCCATCTGACTCTGTCTCCTCCCAAACCCCCAGGTGACTTCCAAATTCGAGCTCTATACCTGCCTCAGCCCTCTGGTGACCAAGGCAGGTGCAATCTTGGTAGTGACCAAACTCCTGCGCTGGGTGAAGAAAGAGGAGGACCGGCTCTTCATTCGCTACCCACCCAAGTACTCCACACCACCAGCCCCCTCTACGGACCAAGCTGCCCACAATGGCTTGTTCACTGGACTCTGATAGATGGAGCTCCCAGACCAGGCAGTGCTGGGAGCAACCACCTTTGTTTTTTACCTTCTGTCCACCCTGGAAATGTGGGTGGGGGTGTGTCCGTGGCTAGTCATTGTCTCCCTAGGCAATGGGGCAAGATCTGAAGGCCCATCTATGAAAGAGATGGTGGCAACAGCCAGGCGAGCAGGCTGCTTTCCTCGCCTGGTCATGCACCTCCACCTCTGGGGAAATCCTTAGGCCTCCCTCTCCCTTCCCTCTGTCTCATCTCCTCCACTTGAATGATGCTCTAGCCTCTGTGAGGGATTGTCCCCTCCAAACTTGCTTCAGGGGTCTGCCTCCTCAGTTGAATCTCAGCCGTGAGTGTCCAGATCTGGCCAAGGTCTCTAGGGTGGCCCACAGGGGTGCTGGAATTGGCACTTCAGGGCCACGCTATGCTTGGAACTGGCCTGAGGGTATTAAAGAAAAAAACTACATAAAAGTCCTAAAAGTAAGACCCACAAGGATATTCCTTTGCCCTTCTTGTAGTTTTCTTCATCTTTACCCTGCCAGAAATGACCCCCTCAATGCCGGCTGCTGCTAACATTAATGAGAAGGTGGCCTCTAGTGTCCACCTGTGGAACCCAGGACACAAAGCACCTGACTGCACACAGTGGCTGAAATCCAGCATTTTTACATAGAAGATGCACTTAGCTTCTAAGCCTCATTTTACTCATCTGTGAAACAGAGATAAGTAACCCTCTTTCGTAAACTCTGATGAAGATTTGTAAACGAAAACAGACTCGAACTATTGTGTACCACCACATAGCACATGCACGTCTGTCCCAGACTTTGACAACCTGCACAAGACAAGCAGCCTAAAGCAGGAGAGACCTTCCTAGGGTTTTGTATGTGTGCACACTACCCTCGCTCCCCAACTGGCCATTACCCTAGCTCTGCCCTTGTTTGTGGAGTTACAGCCTCAAGGTTGTAGCATGCAATCGGGGCGCAGTGTGTTCTGCGCTTGCCCAGAGCTGACTGCTAAGTCAACCGATGGCGTAACCGCGGACTGCACGCATGCGTGGTGAAAAGCCTTTCGCCCTCACGTGGTTTCTTTTTCAACCAGTCATCAAGCAAGGCTCGCGCGCAGGCCCCGCGTTGGAAAATGGCGGGGAAGCTGAAACCTCTGAATGTGGAGGCGCCAGAAGCCGCTGAGGAGGCTGAAGGTAGTGAGGGCAAGTGGGCTGTACTCCTTTCTCTCCAACCAGGGCAGAAAGGAGGGAGGATTCATCCCATTACAATAATGAAATAGTGATATTCCAATATTTTTTAAATAAAATGTTAAGCCTTTTATTATTGAAGAAAAACAATTTTTTAACCGTTCAGCAGAGTGGAGATAAATTAACAGGCATATTCTTACCATCGAGATTAACTTTTGTCAACTCTAGTGAATACGTTGTTGAAAGTAAACAACACATAGTTCAGTACGCAAGTCTTCAAACAAAAGTGGGGCGGTGGGGATGTTCTCATAAAAATCACCTTGCTGCAGCCACCCCTTATTAACAGTAATTCCCAATGTCGCCATTTCACACCTAACACCTACCACACTTTGATGGACTCTTAAACCTCTTAATCGAACATGGCCTCCCCCACAGCCTCTTTTCTCCAGGGTATCGACTTGAATGACAGGCAAAGGAGGGTGGAGGGGTGTCGGCCTAGACGCTATTGGAAATTGTATTCCATCCAAAAGAAAAAAAATCTCAGACCGGGCACGGAGGCTCACACCTGTAATCCCAGCACTTTGGGAGGCAGAGGCGGGCAGATGACGAGGTCAGGAGTTCGAGACCAGCCTGACCAATATGGTGAAACCCTCTCTACTAAAAACTATATATATATATGTAAATTAGCCGAATGTGGTGGCGTGGACCTGTAATCCCAGCTACTCAGGAAGTTGAGGCAGGAGAATCTCTTGAACCTGGGAGGCGGAGGTTGCAGTGAGCCGAGATCACGTCACTGCACTCCAGCCTGTGTGATAGAGCGAGACTCAGTCTCAGAAAAAAAGAAGAAAAAAATCTTCCTTGGCCCGGCTTGGTGGCTCACGCCTGTAATCCCAGCACTTTGGAAGGCCGAGGTGAGTGGGTTACCTGAGGTCAGGAGTTCGAGACCAGCCTGGCCAACATGGTGAAACCTCGTCTCTACTAAAAACAAAAATTGGCCAGGTGTGGTTGGCAGGTGCCTGTAGCCCCAGCTACTTGGGAGGCTGAGGCAGGAGAATTGCTTGAACCCAGGAGGCGGAGGTTACAGTGAGCTGACATTGTGCCACTGTACTCCAGCACAGACAACAGAGAAAAAAAAAAAGGAAAAAAAAATTCCCAAGGCAGTAATGCATTTGTATGCCACTAGTATTTTTTGTGTTGTTACGGAAGTATTCAAAGTGTACCAACGTAGAGAAAATAGCATAAACAAAGCCCATGTACCCATCACTATGCTTCAACTGTTGTCACCTTTCTGTCCCACTTTTATCTATCTCTAACACCCCTTTCTGCACACTCTTTAAACCACTGTATGAATAAACACACTAGACTGCATCCTGCCAGACCTACCCATATAGACATCAAAGTAATGATTATTGTTAATTACCTGACCTAGGATGTGAGCTCCATGAGAACAGAGACTGTTTACCTCTCACTCCCCTGCACCTAAAACAATGCCTGCTTGGTGTAAAGTAGGTGTTCAGTAATTTTTTAATGTGTGACTAATGAAATAACTTCCACACAGAGAGGTGTTTTAGATTAGAGCCACATACTAAGTGCCAGCATTCAACAAAGGACAGAAGGAAGTAAGACAGATGCAAATAGATCTCATGTATTAACTGTGTAATACAGCTGCCACTACAATTTTAAAAAACTATTTTAGTATCAACCTTTCAAATTCCTCAAAATTAAAGTTATGACTGACTTCACTAGCAAAGGAAAAATTGAAAGACGTATCAAGTTGCCATTTCTAGCCCATCAAATTGGCTTTATAAAGGGAAGAATAGTATCTGGTATTGATGACCTTGTAGAGAAACAGGCCTTTTCCTACCTCAGGGAAGAGAGCTGACTCAAAGTAAAGGCTTTGCTAGAGGCAGTTTGGCAGAGTATTTTTAGCATCTAAAATGCTGTTCCACTTCTGCAGTCCCCATGCTATGTAATCATAGGAGAATACATAAGTGTATGAACCAGGAATGGTCATTGGAGTGTTGATGCAGGCACAACACAAGGAACAGTCACATAAATGGCTAAGTCTAGGTTTATGTGTGCATGCTGTGGAATGTCTCTGTGGTGGATTTTTCTTTTTAAGAGGCAGAAAAAGATAAATTCTAATTTAAATGTATAAAAATTAAATTTTAAGTTGATAGGATTATTATTGACACACAAGGAGCTCCAAAATAGACCCTATTTTTATTAGAGACAAGCCAGTTGGGATTGAAACAAAAATGGAGGAAGGTATAGCCCTGTGTATGTTGCACAGAAAAAGTGTCTGAATGGTAAAGGCCTGAGTGATAACTCTGGACAAGGGATTTGGATTTTGGGAGTACTGCAGAGGTAGAGGCATTTTTGTGATTTATTGTTTTATTTTTCTTTTAGAAAAATGTAAGTAGTCATATATAATTTTAAAATATAAGGGAGAAGAGGGAAAATTTTGAATGGCAACTGAGGATCCTATATTCATATTGGATCAGTATTAACATCCAGGTTTTGATTGTTGTACTGTGGTTACCTGGTAGATTCCCTTTGTATATAGGAAATAGACACTGGAATAGTAAGGTGTAATGAGTCAAGTTGTCTGCAACTTATTATTCAAAATCACTCACAAATGGGGAATCTGGTATAAGGGCAAAATGGGGGCACTGTGGCCTATTTTTACAACTTTTGTGTACATCTGAAATTATTTCAAAATAAAATGTTTACAAGGGTGCTCTTACTGTGCTGGCCGTTTTCTTTTGTAATGGACTTTGTGTGTGTGTGTGTCAAAGTGTTAGTTGGATTATTTAAAAGATTTACTTGTTACCCACTCTTGGCCTTATTTCATGACTAGCACTAGAAAGCAGAGAGAGGAAAAACACAGATGGAGCTTTTGCAGAAATGGTTGCAAATGCCAGCCATAAAAAAGATGTGGAGACAATCAGGAAATTAATGCATAGCCTGGGTATTGGGAGATGTTACCTGATGAGTATTAATCTGGTCAGTTGTGATTATAGGATTGGGGTCATCTAAGATAATGTCCTTAAGTAGCTCAGACTCCTGATGAAGTATCTGGGAATAAAATGTCAAGAAGCCTGGGCATTGCTTAAAAATAATTCAACACAGGAGAAGCAGAGGTGAAATAAATAGGGTGAATATTAATAATTGTCAGATCTGGACAATGAGCATATGAGAGTTAATCATAATATCTTCTCTACTCTCATGTGTCTTTGAAAGTTCTCATAATAAGGTACTAAAAATAAAACAATCACAAACACCTTCCCTTGTTATTAAAGTAGCTTTACTTCTTTGTCTTATTTCCAAAATATTAAGAATATTTTTGAAATTAAAAAATATCTCAGGATGCCAACTTGTTCCAAGTGATTGTATCAGGGGAAGCAGTGAGATTTAGGATTAAGGAGAAAAGAGGAAATTTCATTTTTAACGTCACATATTTCTTTGTTTGAATTTTCTTAGAATTTTACTTGAGTCAGAAAGTAAAATTTAGAGCAATACATGAAATGTATTTTACTAAAAGACCAAATGTTGTCACCAAACTGCTGGCAGTGGTTACTTCTGGGAAGGGGAGTGACTTGGAGAAGGGGCTGCTGGTGAGGGGAGACTTTTCTTTTTAATTTTTTTCTTCCACATTTGTTTATTATGTAAGTTATTCTACATGTGTTTATTATGTAATTTAAACATGAAAATGCAAATTAAAATAATACATAATAATTTATAAAGGATTTCAGGCCAAACAAAAAGACATAAAGAAGGTGAACATACCACCAAATACTTCAAAAAGTATCTAATAAGCTCAGGTTAAAAAACCCTGATTTACAACATGGATTTTAATGGCTGCAAAGAATTTCATCCTACAAACATGCTGTAATTAATCCCCTAAGGTATCTTCAAGTTATTTCCTTTTTTTTTTTTTTTTTTTTGAGACAGAGTTTTGTTCTTGTTGCCCAGGCTGAAGTGCAATGGTACCATCTCGGCTCACTGCAACCTCTGTCCTCTGGGTTCAAGCAATTCTTCTGCCTCAGCCTCCTGAGTAGTTGGGGTTACAGGCACACACCAACACGTCCGGCTAATTTTTGTATTTTTAGTAGAGTTGAGGTTTTGCCACACTGGCCAGGCTGGTCTCAAACTCCTGACCTCAGGTGATCCACCTGCCTTGGCCTCCCGAAGTGCTGGGATTACAGGCGTGAACCACCGCGCCCAGCCGTTACTTCTGAGTTTAAAATTATAAACAGTGAAACAACATCTCGCCCACCATCCTTAATTATGTCTTTAAGAGGCATTCCGAGGAGTGGAATTTCTGATCAAGAGGAAGTGAATAAAGTTTTGGTATTTATTTATCAGAAAGTTTGAAATGAAACAGTTTTTGCCGGTTAGCAAAAAACAAAACAAAACAAAACAAAAATGAAGATTAAAAACATACTTGCCTGGTAAGAGTATGATTTTTGGGCCTGAGACAGGTGAAAGGCAATTTCCTATCAGCCAAATTCCATAATATACATACCTTTGATCCACCAAGTAGCATCTAAGTAGTACTCTATGTGTACCCAGTAGATACACTCTAATGCAAGCACAAAGAATAATGTACAGGGATGATGTACTAGGTTAAATTGTGTCCCTTCAAAATTCATATCCACCAGAAATTCAGAAATGTGACTTATTTGGAAGTAGGGTCTTTGCAGATATAGTTAGTGAAGAGGAGGTCACACTGGATTAGGGAGGGCCATATTCAATGGCTGGTGTCCTTATAAGTAGAGGGAAATATAGACACATAAAGATATGAGAGTGGCAGGTGAAGACACAGACACAGAGGGAAGACCCAGTTTGTGGTACTTTGTTATGGCAGCTTGACAACACAAATGCAGATGATCATTGTGGCATTCTTTGTAACAGCAAAATAAGGTAAACAGCTTAAATATCCATCAGTAGGATATTGTTTTGAAATTATGGTATATCCACACAGTGGAATGCCATGCAGCCACTAAAAAGAATAAAAAGATCACTGGTGTACATTGTCAAATGATAAATACAAGATGGGGTGCATCATGTACACCATGCTACCACTTATGTAGAAAATGTGGGATGTGGGCCAGGCGCAGTGGCTCATGTCTGTAAACATCTGTAATCCCAGCACTTTGGGAGGCTGAGGCGTGCGGATCACGAGGTCAGGAGATCAAGACCATCCTGGCTAACATGGTGAAACCCCGTCTCTACTAAAAATACAAAAAAAAAAAAAAATTAGCCTGGTGTGGTGGCGGGCACCTGTAGTCCTAGCTACTCTGGAGGCTGAGGCAGGAGAATGGTGTGAACCCGGGAGGCGGAGCTTGCAGTAAGCTGAGATCACCCCACTGCACTCCAGCCTGGGCGACAGAGCAAGACTCCGTCTCAAATAACAAAACAAAAACAAAAACAAAAAAAAAAAAAGAAAACGTGGGATGTAGTTGGCCGTGGTGGCTCACGCCTGTAATCCTAGCACTTTAGGAGGCCGAGGCAGGTGGGTTGCCTGAGCTCAGGAGTTCGAGACCAGCCTGGGCAAAACAGTAAAACCCCGTCTCTACTAAAATACAAAAAATTAGCCAGGCGTGGTGGCATGCGCCTTTAGTCCCAACTACTCGGGAGGCTGAGGCAGGAGAATCACTTGAACTTGGGAGGCAGAGGTTGCAGTGAGCTGAGATCGTGCCACTGCACTCCAGCCTGGGCAACAGAGCCAGACTCCATCTCAAAAACAACAACAACAAAATGAAAAGCAAAATGAAAATGTGGGAGGTATGTTTGTATATACATTGAATTATCTCCAAGTACCTACACATAACTTGTAATGCTAGTGGCCTCTGAGGAGAATTAGAGAACTGAGGGAGAAGGAATTTTCACTGTATACTATTGTGGGTAAGCGTTTCTTCATTAACTTTTTGGCTATCATGTTTGCGAGCTGCCTTTCATCTTCTCTGTTCAATTTTCCTTAGGGAGGTGTAGGTCACTGAGATTTGACCTTTACCATTGATTTCAAGACTTAAGGATTTTTTTTTAATGTTAACATTTTCCTGTGGTTTTTCTTGTTTGAATTTTAGAAGTAACACAGGCTCATGTTAAAATATACATAGAAGTATGTATGGTGAAAAGTGTGGTGAATCAGGGTTCAAATAAGGTCTGTTCATTTAATTGATTGATATATGCCTCAAGTCTTTTTTAATCTGTAGGATTTTTCCCTCTCCCTCATTTTCTTCTTTGCAACTTATTTGTTGAAGAAACAGGTTTTCCTGTGGAGTTTCCCACAGTCCACATGATATTGAGCACATCCCCAGTGGTGTCATTTAATGTGTTTTCCTGCCCTTTGTACTTCCTCTGAATTCGTATTTAGATGTGGAAACCTGATGGGATTCCATCAGGCTTTTTTGGTTTTGGTGGGGGTTTTTGGGGCAAAAATCCTTCATCAGCCATGTTGTGTTCTTCCATCTAGAGGCTCATAGGGAGCACTCCCCAAGACAGCTTGTAAGTGCACTCTGAGCTGCAGTCCTCAACTTAGCTGAAATAAACTCTCTATATCAAAAATAAAAATAAAAATCCATTGAACTGGAGCTGCAGGGTAAAGAAAGAAAAAGAGAGAGGCTCATAATATCCAGTTGTCTTTTTCTGATGTTAGTAGCCATTAGTAACTATTACCTAGATCTATAAGTTCATTAAGAATGTATAAATTATGAGCTATAATTATTTTAAAGAAATTCATATGAAATCTTCCTGCCCTATTGCTCTGGTTAGAACTTCATAATGATCTTGAACAGCAGCATCAGCAAACATGCATTCCCTTCTTTCACCCCTGAGTTTCATTAAGGGGATGTTTGTGGTGGTGTCTTTTAACCCCTCAGGGAGAAGGTGACCCTTCGGGGTCCTGATTTATCTAGCACACACCATAAACCTCAAGGGCAAGAGACGGGGGCCCTGCTTCGGATGGAAATCTGTCTCTCATCCCATCCTTAGCCCCAGCCCAGGGGTGTCTGCAGACCCCGCTGGGACTTCCTACTTCCCTTCTCTGTCCCCTCTCACTCTCGCTATGTCCTGTAATTTTGATTTTCGTTTCTACAGGGCAAGCCAAGTCTTTGAAGACTGAAGACTTGCTGGCAATGGTGATAAAGCTGCAGAAAGGTCATGTGTCTCTTTGTTTCTGAGCCTCAGCCTGGGGTTTCAAGTCAGAAAGACATGGTTCAAATTCAGCCACCTCAACTCACAACCTCAGGAAATTATCCCATTGCACTTTCTCCCTCTTATACAATTTAATTCTTTGAACCAAGAATACAGCCTCACAGTTTAAAATTCAAGAAGTTTAAAGGAAAGGAAAAACCAGTTCCCCTGCCATCCCTCCTCCCTCCCCCCACACACTAGACATCCATTTCCCTGACTCACGGGCAAGCAGCTATTGTTTTTCAATTCTTAAGTATCTTTCCAGAGGTTTTTAAAAAATGCATTCATGGATGTGTTTTTTTTTTTTTTTTTGTCTTCCCTTTTACATACAAATGGCAATGCAGTTGGTTTTGCACCTTGCTTTGCTTTTTGCAGGAGATCTGGGAGCCAGTGTGCACCCAGTATCTACATCAGAGCTGAGGCAGTGCTGGCCAGAGGTTAGACCCCCAGTCCATTCTCATCTTAAAATACTATCACGTCAGTCTATTCCAAACAAAAGCAGCAGCCTCCCCTTCTCCCACTCTGTGGCTGCCTGCAGAAGAAGTGCACTGGGACTGCTGCCTAGGTAAAATTAGGGAGAGAAATTGCAGGGCCAGAAATGCAGTGACCCAAACTGATCATTTCCAGTAAAACAAAGACCCCCAGAGATTTCTGTCAGTCATAATCAGCACCGTGGAGAGCACCCACTCTCCTGGAAATCACAGAAGCTGGAGTCAGTGACCTTGGAAAATCCAGGGTCTGAGTTTATTAACCCCAGAGTGTCTGAGGGGTCGGCAGTGAGACCTGGCAAGGGTTGGGCAGCTTTTTGCCCCCATTCTTTGTTGCCAACCTTGATGCCAAAGAGGCATGAGAAGGAAGTCTCCTGCATACAGAGCACTGAAACAGGGACTATGAGAAGTTAGAGCTGACTCTCTAAAGGGACAGTGATCACCCTGTCACTGGGAAACTTGCAAGCTGCCACCAGCAGCGTAAAAGCAGGGTTTCCCCATTTCTCAGATGAGGCCAGTACCAGAGTGCAGACTGACAACCCTTCCTGTCTGGCTTTTGATAGGGCGGGGCAGATGGGACGTCTCCATTGGCTCACACCACACTCAGAGTTACATCTAAAGGCTTCCACGATGGCCCAATAGGCCCTGAGTGATACCACTTCCCACTTCCCCCACCTCACCTTCTGCTACTCTCCACTTGCTCACTAGACCTGAGCCACACCAGCCCCTCACTGTTACTTTCGACACGTGCCTCACCCGCTCCTGCCACACTACGGGGAATTTGCACTTGTTCCCTCTGCCTTGTTGCACTCCGCCTGGAATGGGTCCCCCCTCCACACTCTACCCCCACAGAACTGCAGGACCTGCTTCCCTCTCCTCATCTGGGCCCTTTCCATATCTCCAGACACGCCTTTTACCCTTTTGCTCTTCAACGCTTTGCCTCACTTTATTTCTCTTCACAGCAGCTACTGCCACCTGAATTGATTTATTTATCTTTGCTCAATGTCCATCTCCCCAGCCCAGAATGCAAGCCCTTCAAGGGGCTCTGGCAGAGCTCAGCACACAGCAGGTACTCAATATATGCCTGTTAATTGATAGCAGCAGACACAGTGCTTCTCCGTCTGCCTTGGACAGCCAGACACCAGTCTTCTCTGGCTCAGTCTTTCTTCCTTTCTTTCTTCAGAGGGAAGTCTGGAGCCACAGATAGAGGACCTGATTAACCGGATTAACGAGCTTCAGCAAGGTAAACTTGGGAACCTAGCCTGGCCAGCTGGGGCCAGCAGGAAGAGCCTGGATTTATAATGAATCCACCTCCTCATCTATAAAATCTAGGCCCCTGTAGGGTTGTTTGAAGATGAATATGCAATGTCACGTTTGTGAGAGAACAGCAAGGCTAGAGACTACACTCACACAGTGTCTTCTTCCCTTCTTGGCCCAGCAAAGAAGAAATCCAGTGAGGAACTGAGAGAGACCCACACTCTCTGGGAGGCCCTGCATAGGGAATTAGACTCCTGTAAGTGGGGCCAAAAGAGGGACCCATCAACACTGCGGATGCTCCTGTGCATACCTCGGGGCCTTTGCACAGGCTGTTCCCCGGCCTACAATGCTCTTAGCTCACATCATCTGTATTGCCTCTCACTGTCTCATGTCATCTTTCAGCTCTCAGCTCAAATTTCACCCTGACAGGCCTATCTTGATAGTCTCATCTCAGAATAGAATCCCGCCCTCTCTTGGTCATTCTCACGCCCCTGGCTGATTTGTTTCTTAGGAGCCTTTATATCCACCTGACATTGTGCGTGTATTTCTTTATAGCCATCTCTCTCCTCAGTGTAAACCTTGTACATTCTTCAGGGTCTTCAGTCCTTCAACATTTACAAGGAATGTGGGCATAGAGGGGGAGAAGCTGGATCAGGATGGTCCTTGTGGGAGATGGTTGCAAGGGTGGCAAGAAGATACATCAGCTCTCAGCTCTCCTAGGGCTGTACTACACCTGCTGTGTGGCTTTTCCCTTATATGAAGTTGCAATGGGGATGGCGATGGGGTGCCTGGAGGCTGAAAGTGTCATTGTGTTTTCCAGTGAATGGAGAGAAAGTGCACCTAGAGGAGGTCTTGAGCAAAAAGCAAGGTATTTACCAGTTGCTGTGTCTTCCTTATTCTACTCTTCCATCCCACAAAAGTCCATACTCCTCAGAACAGCCAGAGGAATCCCACTGAAACCTAAGTCAGGGTGCTTCCCTCTCTGCACAGATCTCTCCCTGGATCGCTACCTTACTTGGAGTAAACACCCAAGTCCTCACGGTGCCCTCCAATGCCTGACATGATGTGGGGGCCCATTACCTCTGGCCAACCCTGACTCCCCAAGAGCTCCCAAAGGGTCCCCTTGGTTCCTTCCCCACAGAGGCACTCAGGATCCTCCAGATGCACTGCCAAGAGAAGGAAAGTGAGGCTCGGAGGTAAGTGGCCCTGCCTCAGCTCTTCCCCACCTCATTCCCCAGCTGAAAAAGGAGGGAGCAAGAGCTATGGAAATCAGTCTCGGACATGGAAGCCTCATTTTACCTTTCTATAAATAGAACAGTCAGACAAAAGACTTCCTTGGTTATCTCTGATATTAAATGGTCATGTTAAGATCAATTTACTCATTTAATTATTCATGACTAATTTCTTTATCAAATATATTCCATCCATTGGTGTTAGCCTCAGTCTTTTGCTATCGGCTATCCAGGTCCTTTGATATCCATTCACTTGCTTATTTGTCTGCTTATTCTAAGCCCCAGCCATCCATTTGCCCACCCATTCATCTACTTACATATCTAGCCATTCACCTACTCACTCATACATCCATCTATCCAACTATCCAACCATGTCATCCAGCCAGATGGCTATTTTATCTACAACCTTCCACCTAACAATCTTCCATCCATCCAATCATGCATTCATCCTCTCTCTATCCTTCCCGTCATATATTCACTTAGCCAACCATCCATCCAGACATCTATCCTTTCTTCTGGCAATCCTTTCTTTCTCTATCCAGCCGCTATTCCTCTACTCATCATTTCTCTAATCAGCTATCGTTTCTCCAGCCAGCAACTCACACATCCAATCAATTGTCTCTCCAACCGTGTATCTATCCATGTCTTCATCCTCCCAAGTAGCTGGAATTATAGGCATGTGCTACCACGTCTGGCTAATTTTGTATTTTTAGTAGAGATGGGGTTTCTCCACATTGGTCAGGCTGGTCTCGAACTCTTGACCTCAGGTGATCCTGCCCGCCTCAGCCTCCCAAAGTGCTAGGATTTCAGGCGTCAGCTACCACGCCCAGCATCCTCTGAACCTTTACTTAGCACATTCATGTTACCAGAGGTCTTACATCCTGGTGCACCGTGATTTTAATTGCATGGGGAAACCTGATGTTAGCTAATGTGTGTATACTTAACCACACTACTCACACTGTCTGATGAGCATTTATGCCCATTTATGTACCTAATCCTCATAATGACAATTATAGGAGTTAAAGGCTAATGTCACCCTCCACACCACCATTTTACATATGAGGAAACTGAGACCCAGAGAGGTTAAGTAACTTGCCCAGGGTCACAGTGAAGTAACAGATCAGGCTTCGAGCCAGGATGTTACAGAATCTATGGTGCCAGATTACCACACGCCTCACAAAGCTTTCTTGGGGAGGCAGAGTTCATTCCATGGGGGACAGGATGGACAGGGTGATGTTCTCAACAGAGGCCCATGAAGGTTCTCGTTCAACAGGGGAAATGAGAAAGGTGAATGCCGTGAACAGACATCCCAACTCCCACTCCTGCTGGAGTGAATGGTGGGTCATTCAGAGAACACCACTCAGGGTTGTCTTTCCCTTCCCAGGAAGCACACGTTGCAACAGTACATGGAACACATTTTTGTCCATAACTCTCAGGTTTCAGAGTCCCAAACAGAGGAATCTGGGGTAACTCCCAAGCCTGGGGCCTGGCAGACCACAGTGTAGAAAGTGGGAGCAGGGCTTGCCTCAGGGAGAGTTTGTTGGAAGAGGTGCTGCAGGAACCAAAGCTTAGAGGATAAAACCCATGAAGTGGCTCCCAGCAGAGGGAGCATGGGCAGGATCTGAAGGCTCGCACATGAGGAGCCCCCATCAGGGGTCAGGCCTAGCATGTGTTCTCTCATTCCTGGGTGTCGGCCTCCAGGTTGGATGTCAAAGGACAGCTGGAGGATCTGACGGGCCAGCACAAGGACCTCTGGGAATTCCACGTGAGCCATTATCATTGCCTACAACCAAAGCCACTCCTCCCTTGGCTTTAGTGTCCCACTGACTGGCCCAGAGTCCACCCCTGCCCAGGCCCAATGCCGGGGGATAATCCTTGATTCCTTGCTTCCTCTTGTCCACCTATTCAGTCCCTCAGCTTTTATCTAAAATGAACTTAAGTCTCACCATGCCTTACTGCCACACCCAGCATCACCTGCCCAGACGGGTGCGTACCATTGTGATCTGCTTTCCCCCTGCTCACCCAGAGTATGTTTATCTTGCAGTGGCAAATGGCAGCCCAGAGAAAGCCATGGTCAGGTCGTTCCTTCATTCAGCTAATGTCAATGGCTGCACTGGGCTGCATTTGAAGCAGTGAGAGAGGGTAGCAGATCAAAGAGGCCAAGTCTTTAGCAGATCAAAGAGGCTGTCTCAAGCTGGTTGGGGACAGTGGAGGCACCAAGAAAGTTAGTGGCTAGATCGTGGAACGTCAGTGGGAAGGCCTCTAAGCAAGTGACATCTCAACACAGAGGTTAAGGAAATGAGGGAAGAAGCGGAGCAGGTATCTGGGTACAGAAGGAAGGCCCTGGGACTGGACGGTGCCTGAAACCTTTCAGGAGCCGCAGACTGGGGAGTGGAGGATGAGGAGAGTGGGAAGAGTTCAAGTTTGAGAGGTGCCTGGAGACATGCAGAGCGTTTGGGGGGAGGTGGGTGGGTCTCCAGCCACAGCAGAAACTGCACATTGAGTTAATAAATAGTTGAATGAATGAATGACCTAATGTAGGTGAAGATTTCCCGAGAAGCACAAAAGGGGAGGGGCGGGCCGTGTAGCCAAGAGGACATCCAGACGGGCAGCCCTCCTCTTTGTCCTGGCAGATGCTGGAGCAGCGACTGGCCCGGGAGATCCGTGCCCTGGAGAGGAGCAAGGAGCAGCTGCTCTCGGAGAGTGAGCCTCCCGCGCCAGGTGGGCCGGGGGAGGGGCATGTGGCCGGGCCTCGGCCCTGCCCCTGACGCCCGCCCACCCGCAGGGAGGCTGGTGCGCGCCAAGCTGCGGGACGTGGAGCGGCGGCTGAGCTCGCCGCCTGAGGTCGAGGGCGCCAGGGCGGTGAATGACGGGTGAGAGGGGAAGGGAGGTGTGGGCGAGGAGGGCAGGGACACGGCGGAGGGGAACCAGCCCAGGTCCCCCGCTCCGCCCCCCACTGCCCCTTCCCCCGCCTGTGCCTCCCTCGGCGTCGTCGGGTCTCCGCGTCTCCGTGGCTTCCTCCTTGTTCCCTAGACTCTCCCTCTCTTCCTCCTCTCTCCTCGGCCCCTTCTCCGCAGGCTGAAGGCGGAGCTAGAGATATTCGGGGAGCAGGTCCAGAGCGCCCCCGAGGTCGGGGCCGGCGAGGGAGAGGTAGGGAGCCCGGGGAAGGGAGGCGGGGCGGGCAGGGGTCCTGGGAGTGGCCCCTGAGAGTGGGGTCTGTGCGGAGCAGGGCGGCCCCGGAGGTAGAGGAAGCCTGGGTGGAGGCCTAGGGCAGACGCGGGCGGATGCGAGGAGCGCGGGAACCTGGTCTGCAGCCTCACCCCGCCCCCGGCAGGCCGGACCTGAGCTCCCCCGCCCCCGCGACGAGGCGGATCCGGAGCCGCCGGTGGCTGCCCCTGACGCCCCCTAGGCCAGCAGGACCCGCCCGGTCCCCGCCCTCCCTCGAGACCGGCCAAGAAATAAAGGCGATAATTTCCGACCGTGCCTGCGTTCTCCCCGGAGTCTGTGCTTCACGGTGGAGAGGGGAGGGGCGTCCTGGGGTCTCGAGGCGGGGCCTCTGCCTGACCCCGCCCTCCAGTCAAGCCCCAGGCGCCAGAGGCTCGGTAAATGCTCCTGAGCTCAGAGAGAGTAAAGTGGGTGTCAGGACCCCCCGCCCCACAGCCTCATCTCGAGTTCCCAAATCTGTGTTGTCAACAGGGGCTAGAGGGCACGTGTTAACCCATTCTGGTCCTCAGGGTCTGTGTGTCTCCGGTGGTCTCAGGAAACCCAGAGTCTCTGCAAGACCCACAGACTCGCGCTAGCTCTGGGACGTGTCCGCCCATCTGAGCTCCTCTCACACATTGGATTCTAGCCAAGGCTGCCTCTCCACCCTTCTCAAACACTCCAAACACGTGTCCCTTCCGGGCCTTTGCCCTGCTGGTCCTCGTCTGGGGTCACATCCCCTAGGCCACCTCAGATCTGTTAAATGTGTCCGCCACTCCGGAGGCCAGCCTTGGGAACTCAACTCCAAAGGCACCCGGCACCAGGCTGCTGCCATTGACCGAGCATGTAGTGACTAAGCAGGCATTTGCCGATTGCCTGCTGGGTACCAGGCACTGTTGTAAGCCCTGGATTTTAAACAGCGCGGTTAGCGAAGCCTCACCTAGAAAGTGGTATCTGAGCGGAGAAGTGAGGTAGCAAAGGAGGGAGTGAGCCCTGTGGGTGTTTGGGGAAAGGTGCGCCTGGCAGAAGACATACCTCATGCCAAGGCCTGGAGGTGAGGCTGCACTTCGCTGTGTTTGAGGAGCCGTCTGGAGGAGGCCTGCGTGGTGGAGTGGAATGAGGTAGAGTGGGGTGGGAGACGACACTGGAGAGTTGCCAGGGACCAGTCAAGTTGGGCATTATCTAATGTGTGTAGAAGAGGACCTGGTACACAGTATTCAGTGAATGTCAACTCTCACATACTGTTGTGATGATTCACTATTCCCAGTGCCTAGAGAATGGGAACTGAGACCTGTGACTCACTTAAATCAGGGCTTCTGTCCATTAAGTGATCAGTAAGTGGTTCATATGATTTATTATTATTATTATTCTCAGGCTACAGATGAGGAACACCAAGGTGTGTATATCTCTCAGAACAGAGATTTTTATACAGTAAATGCTCAATAAATGGTATCTATCATTAATTTTTCTCACTACTATTCTTGTTGTTATTCCCAATTTAGTGATGAGGAAAATTGAGATAGTGAATCTGTACAGTAAGCCCTCAATAAACGTTGGGTATCGCAGTTGTTGCCATTATTATCCCAAGTCCACAGATGAGGCCCAGGGAGCTTTAGTCCCCGAGTCATCACTCGCATCCGGGCACAACTGACTCCAGGCCTAGGTTGTGATCCCCTGCCCCACTGACCCCACCTGCTTGCTAAGGCCAGTCTGCAGGAATCTCTAAGGAACCTCAGTATCCTCTTCGTCATCCTCTCTGTGTCACACAAATGGGGTCAGCCTGGATATTCTGCCGACTTACCACTGGGTACCTAGGATTCGAGTCCTGGTTTCCCTGTTCACGGGCTGGATGACTTCAGGCAAATTGCTTAATGTCTCTAAAACTCAATGACCAGCTGGGGGCCGTGGCTCAGGCCTGTAATCCCAGAACTTTGGGAGGCTGAGGCGGGTGGATCACGAGGTCAGGAGTTCAAGACTAGCCTGGCCAAGATGGTGAAACCCCTTGGTTTGGTGGTGGCGGGTGTCTGGAATCCCAGCTACTCAGGAGGCTGTGGCAGAGAATTGCTTGAACCCGGAAGGTGGAGGTTGCAGTGAGCCAAGATGGTGCCACTGCGCTCCAGCCTAGGCGACAGAGCAAGACTCTGGCTTTTAATTTGCCCTGTGTTCTCCTGACTCAACTGAACTTCCTGGCAGGGCTACTTCTCCTTTCATTGAAATGATTGACAGCTGCCTGGGATGTCTTCACTTACTTCCTGTAACAGCGTTTCTCTCCCCACCCACGTCCTCTCTCCATAGGACTTGCATTCATCCCATAATTCTCAAGCTTCTTAGCTTGTAGTTCAGGTTCAAATGTGAATGAGCCAGGGGGAGCTCAGTGTTGTCAAAAGGCTGAAGGACATTCTTTTTTTTTTTTTTTTTTTTTGAGACGGAGTCTTTCTTTGTTGCCCAGGCTGGAGTGCAGTGGAGCGATCTCGGTTCACTGCAAGCTCCGCCTTCCCGGGTTCACACCATTCTCCTCCCTTAGCTTCCCGAGTACCTGCGACTACAGGCGCCCGCCACCATGCCTGGCTAATTTTTTTTTTTTTTTTTTTGAGACGGAGTCTCGCTCTGCCGCCCAGGCTGGAGTGCAGTGGCCGGATCTCAGCTCACTGCAAGCTCCGCCTCCTGGGTTCACGCCATTCTCCTGCCTCAGCCTCCCGAGTAGCTGGGATTACAGGCACCCGCCACCTCGCCCGGCTAGTTTTTTGTATTTTTTAGTAGAGACGGGGTTTCACCGTGTCAGCCAGGATGGTCTCGATCTCCTGACCTTGTGATCCGCCCGTCTCGGCCTCCCAAAGTGCTGGGATTACAGGCTTGAGCCACCGCGCCCGGCCTTAAATTTTTAGTAGAGACGGGGTTTTACCGTGTTAGCCAGGATGGTCTTAATCTCCTGACCTCGTGATCCCCCCGCCTCGGCCTCCCAAAGTGCTGGGATTACAGGCGTGAGTCACTGCGCCCGGCCAGGACGTTCTTGAAAAAAGTAAGCCAGAAAGAAACCCACTGAAAAACAGGAGAGGAGTCAGAGGAGGGGCCCGAGGAGAGGCAAACATAGCACAGCCTGAGTAGCAAGCTAGACAAGGCATGAAAGAGACAGTGGCTAAAGTGACTGCAGTGGAATCTCCCAGAGGATAATAATATTACTGCCTTATAGAGCACACGAGTTAGCAGAACAGAACCCAGGGCCAGACTGTCTTTGTAAGAATCCCAGCTCTGCTGCATACTAGCTGTGTAACTTCAGGTTATACAGTTAAGTTACTTAAATTCCCCCCCGTTTTGTTTTTTTTTTTTTTTTTTTTTTTGAGATGGAGTTTTATTCTTGTCACCCAGGCTGGAGTGCAATGGCGGGATCACTGCTCCCTGGAACCTCCGCCTCCCAAGTTCAAATGATTCTCCTGCCTCAGTCTCCCGAGTAGCTGGGATTACAGGCGCCCACCGCCACGCCCAGCTAATTTTTGTATTTTTAGTAGTGACGGGGTTTCACCATGTTAGCCAGGCTGGTCTCAAACTCCTGACCTCAAGTGATCCACCCTCCTTGGCCTCCCAAAGTGCTGGGATTACAGGCGTGAAACACTGCGCCCGGCGGAAGTTACTTAAATTCTGTATGGCTAGTTTCCTTATCTGTAAAGTAGAAAGTTATTGTGAGGGTTAAATAAATAGATAATATATGGAAAGTGCTTGGCCGACAGAGCGAGACTCCGTCTCAGAAAAAAAAAAACAAACCATACTTGGTACATCATAAGTACTGCGTTGGTGGTAGCTGTCATTATTACAAAGAATTTTCACATCCTCATTTGGTCATGATCGTAGGGATCTTACATAATAAACATTATATATTTTTTGTTACTTTACAGTTAAGGAAACTGATGATGACTTCACTGAAACCAGGGAACAACTAGTATTCAAGGACAGATCTTCTTACCCCGCATCCGGAATTCTTCCTCTTCTCCATACCACACCACACTGCACTCTTTTCCATTTCATCGAAGTTCTTTTTCTTTTTTTTAATTTTTTTTAAATTTTTTGGTTCATTTCTGTCAGAGAGTTAAGATCACAATTGACTTGCCTTAATTCTTCCAAGTTCAGTGGAAGAACTGGCATTTATTGAATATCTGCCATATCCCTGGCACTTTGTTAGCTACTGAATGTATCAGTCATAGGTTCTGTCTTCAAGGAGCTTAAAAACTCACTGGAGGGAGAAAAGTACACAGTAAACGATTGCAGACCTAAAATCGTGTGCTCCTGAAAGGCAGTGAGCCAATGGAAAGAATACCACGCCAGGAGTCAGACAGTTCCTTTTGTGACTCAGCTCTGGTTCACTGTGTGACCTTATTGGGGACATATAACTAAAACAAAATCTGCCAACCCAGAAAACTCCATAAAAAGTAGAAGAGAAAGAAGACAGTTCCATTACTGCATAAGCATTAAACCAGAAGGTGATGTCACAGGCAATCACAAAAGAGATTGCAAAGGCGGAGAAATAAATCTCACCCTTTAATATAGCCAGATACAACTCATTCAGTGATGAACAATAACTAGTTCTCAAATAAAGACTTAATAGCACGATTTGTCACTCATAGTTCATCCTAAATTGGGGTTACTCTCTGTGTTAGTTAATTGGCTTTCTCCAAAGGAAAATTCAATGACGGGACACAGTTCTGGAGCAAGGCACCTGCATGCTGCAGCTGGACCTTTACTTTCTCACAGAAACTATGAGACAGGGATGCTACCTTCCTTGATTCAATTTCAAAGAGATGGTTCTCAGGTCCTTTAGAAAGACAATCATAGGTCATAAAGGTAGTAGGAGGTTTATTAGCTTTTTAAAAAGATTTATATGCATTTCAAAGAGAAATAACAAGGTTTTTAAAGTAGATGCTCTCAGAAAAGGCAAAGGGGAAAGGGTTGGGGAAAACTGGGAAGGGGTAGGGTAGGAGTATCTTCCCTTATATTCAATAGGGAGAATGAAGCCTCTTATTTTTCTCTTTTTTAAAATTTTAAATTTTTATGGGTACCTTGTTAGTATATATAGTTATGGGGTACATGATATATTTTGATAGAGGCATACACTGTGTAATAATCACAAAAGGGGTAAATGAGCTATCCATCACCTCAAGCAAGCCTCCTATTATTATTATTTTTTTTATTATTTTGAGATGGAGTTTCGCACTTGTTGCCCAGGCTAGAATGCAATAACGTGATCTCGGCTCACCGCAGCCTCCACCTCCCGGGTTCAAGCGATTCTCCTGCCTCAGCCTCCTGAGTAATTGGGATTACAGGCATGCGCCACGACGCCCGGCTAATTTTGTATTTTTAGTAGAGACGAGGTTTCTCTATGTTGGTCAGGTAGGCTGGTCTCGAACTCCTACCTCAGGTGATCCTCCCGTCTCGGCCTCCCAAAGTGCTGGGATTGCAGGCGTGAGCCACCGCACCCGGCCATCTCATTTTTAACTCGTGTTTGCCTTTACATCTGTGGGTAAATCACTTCATCTTCCTGGGCTTCTTTTTCCTCCTTGTAGAAAGAGGCGGAAGTTTTTTGTTAGTGTTCATAAACTACTGTTCTAGGAAGAAAAAAAAAAAAGCACTAAATGTGGCCTTCAATTTTAATTTAATTTAATTTTGTTATTTATTTATTTATTTTGAGACAGGGTCTCGCTCTGTCACACAGGCTGGAGTGCAGTGGCCTGACCTCCGCTCACCGCCATCTCCCCCTCCCGGGTTCAACCGATTCGCCTGCCTTAGCCTCCCGAGTAGCTGGGACTACAGGTATGTGCCATGACGCCCTACTAATTTTTTGTATTTTTAGTGAAGAGGAGGTCTCGCCATGTTGCTTAGGCTGGACTTGAACTGAGCTCAAGGAATCAGCCTGCCTTGGCCACCCAAAGTGCTGGGATTACAGGGATAAGCCAATGCGCCTGGCTATAGTGGCTTTTCAAAACACTTTAAAAATAATCTAAATGATGTCTTTGGAGAGGGGCATGCACACTTAGATTCCCATAATCCATCCTCATTCTGCTCTTTTTGTCTTGTAGCTCACCTGCCTAGCCCTTCCAGCTTCTATTGTGTAGGATTCTATAAGGTGCCCAGATGTATTAAACATGGGTTAATAAGAATAGAGAAAGAGCAGTATTAGTCATATTTTCTGGGAAGATTTATGGGGTCATAGAACTTTTTGTGATCCTTGGTGAGTAGGGAGGATTTTAATTATAAAACAATAGTATTTTTGTTCCAGTTCTTATATTTCCTTCCTTATAGTCTCACACCGCATTACCACCCATAAAACAGTGTTAAATAATGGTGTTGATTTTAAAAATCTGTGTTTCTTCTGATTTTAAAGGAAATGCATATTGTCTTTTGAATGTGTGTATATTTTGTTTATGAAGAGATTATACCCATCCAACTGAATTTCATTGAGATTTTAAAAATTAAGAATGA